CTAATTATACCATTTAGGACACTATTAATCAGTGATTTTAAWTAAATTTATTTATTTTTTTTTATTGTTGAAAATTTTGAAGAAAAAAATCTTTTTTTATATAAAAAAAAACTTTATTCTAATATTACATTAATTCATAAATAATTTAAATATTTTAGTAATAATATAAAATTATTAACTAATTATTAGTTTTATAATAATTATTAATGATTATCATATGATGGCGTATATCAGCAAAAATATAAATTTAAAATAAAATAAAAAAATAAATTCAAGTTATTATTTCAAGTTTTAATTTTTTAAATAAGTTATTTATAATTATTTATTTATTTTGTTCAACTAATTTCAATAACTTTTCAAATTAAAATTTATATARAAAAATTATTAAAATTATTTAGAAAATTATTTTTTAAATAGAAAAATCACATTAAACAAATCTATCTTGATAAAATTTAATATAATCAATCTAAATTAATTTTTAAAAATCATTAACATTTATATCAACTATTTATTAAAATAAAATTGGTCAAAAAATTATTAAACTGTCAAAAATTATTAATTAAAAAAAAGTAAATAATTATTTTAAACATAAAAATGTTTTTTTTAATAATTAGTTTTAATTTAATTTAATGAAATATTTTGTTTGTATTTATTATTTATTTTATTTTTATTAAATACATATTTAAATATCATTGAAATATTGTTGTTGTTGTCTACCAAACATCATGTAGTTTGCCATTAATATCATTAGTTTTATTACTTGTATTATTATTTGTATTATTTGTATTAGTTTTTGATTTTTTAGTCTGTTTTGTCTTTGATTTTTGTTTTTTTGCCGACAAATCACTTGTCTTTGTCGTCGYCGACGATGAAGAAGAAGAACAGGGAATCAGATAACGACTGATRACTTCGATTAGTTCGAAGATTGCAATGAAAGAGAAGCCCAAATAGACGCCTAAAATACCGCCGATTCCGCCCAACAGTGCCGTCAACTAAAAAAAAAATCATTAATATATTTAAATAAAAAATTTTCATTAATTTTTATTTTATTTTAAATTTATTTTTTAAATATCTTATTTATTAATATATTMAAAAAAAAACTGTTTTTTATTWATTAACTTAACTGTATATTTAGGAAATTGATTGATTTCCTGATAGCTTAACGATTGAAAATAGACGACAACTTTTGCATAATTTTCTCTAAAAAACAAAAACATTAAAATCTATTAATTAATTAATAATTTAATAGATTTTTATATAATATCTTAAATAAATAAATAAAAATTGTTAATTATTTTATATATATATATATCAGTATAATATATATATATATATATTCTTATAGAAAAATATTCAATGTTTTACTATTATATTTATATTAATATCTATTATAAAATTAATTTAAAAAAACTATAGTAATTATTTTTTAACTAATAATAATTGTTTTTTATATAACATAACAATAATTATAATATAATAATAATTATGAAAAAACAAAACAAAACAAATTATTTTTTTTGAAAAAAWATATATACTTTTCCTCTCCGTTTGTCTCCTTTCCCGACGATAGTGCCGAACATTGGGGTAACTCTTTACCGGTGGACACAAACTTTTCAAACGTCCGTTCCTCACAACGTGGMGGACACTGACAGTCAATGGTTTTATTGTAATACATTAGACGTATCATTTCGGTACACTCTTCCTGAGCTAAAACAAAACAAAACAAAACAAAAACAACAAATAAATTAAAAATTTAATTTAAATAAAATTAGATTTTTTWAAAAAAAATTATTGTAAATTTTGTTTTTTTAATTATTATTGAAAAAAGTATCTAGGTAAGCTATATATATATATTTTAGTGGTGACTAATCTTATTTCTAAAAACTTATTAAATTTTTTTAGAAAAAATTGTTTATATTTATTTACAAAACTAATTATTAATTTTATAGTATAATTTCAATATTTTAATTAATTAAGTAAATAATTTTTTATATTATCTTACTTTTTGGTATATACTGTATATACAGTATAACTAAACTATCATACATTTTGAACTATTTATTTATTTTTTATTATTTTATTTTTWTTTTAATTTCCAACTCCCATCCCATCCCMTCCCTATCCATCCCTTTCCTCACATTTTCTCAGCAGCAAAAAAAAAAAACATCTAACTGTCAACACAYACACATGTATATATAAAAACAACAATAAAAACAACAACAAAACTAAACATACATTTATTATTTCTTGTATTACATTGAAGTACGTCTGTGTGCGGGGGAGGCGATGCCGACGACCAGCACATACAGTGTCTGATTGTAAACCTTTGCAAACATAGTTTCAGACATATCTGCGATGAATAGGTTTCGTAGCTGAGGTGTTGGGCCCACTGTTCCAGATACGGGTCCTGCCATTCATCCGAACACTTGTCCGGATAGGGTTCGGGCAATCGGGTAATGTTGATCAGCCTGACGCCAACATAGGTGACCAGTCCGGGCGGTACGTGTACGGCATCCTGATCGGGATCGGCACGGGTGGCCGAGTCGTGTACGATAACTTTGGCTCCGGCCTCACGAGAGGTTGGCATATACTGATCGGTTTCCAGGTTTAAGGTCAACTCGAGGCCAAACTTTGGTCCCGTAAAACCTTTTTTTGTTTAATTTTTTGTTTAACCAAACAAACAAACAAATAAATAAATATAAATATTAATTTATTTTTATTTTTTTTTTTTTGGTTTTATGTTTTTTTMAAAATAAGTTTAAATTTAAATTTTGATTTTTTTGTTGCTGTTGTGTTGTATAGTTTATGCAAATATATTGGTAATAATAATAATAATAATAATAATAATAATAATAATAATAATAATAATAATAATAATAATAATAATAACTATTATATATATATATATATCTATTATTTTATATTTACATATATATATATATATATTGATTATTATTAATATAGATATTATTTTTTAGATAGTTGTCTAAATATTATCTATTATATATATTGTATATCTATAATTATATAATATTGATAATTATATATATTATTGATAATATTTAGACAACTATCTACTAAAAAAAATAATATCTATATTAATAAAAAAATTGTTAATATAATAATTTATAATATTATAATAAGTTTATAAAATTATTATTTTTTTAATAATCTATTTTTATTATATACAGTATATATCGTTATCGATATATAATACTTAACTAACTAAACAAACAAAAAATAACTTCAATTTTTTTGAAATTAAAAATTATTATCATATTATTTATGTTAAATAATGTTAATTTTGTTGATGTTTTATTTTGTCGGTAATATTTTTAATAGTATTTATAAATATCAATTATCATAACTAACCCGACAGAGCACCTGATGATGTCGACTGATTTGTCGAGTCGTTACCACTACCGCTACTCAAATGCAGATTATAAGTAAAACAGTTACCGTAGGAACTGTAGAAAAAATCGGTAAAATCTTGTCGGGCATAGCAATGACGGCCAGCGAAATAACATTCACGTATCAGATGTGAGCTTTGGTGGCCAATTGCTTTGGCCTCCAGCGGGTCATTTTTGCCCAATTCAGCCAACCATGAACTGAGCATATCAAACAGGATAAACCAGGGTGTCTCACCCGTATTGACTGATCCCTTAAGGGAGTCGACCCATGGAGACGTGCACTTGGATATGACGTTTGCTATTTTCTGGGACATCTCCTGAAACAGGCCGATCAGTTTCGGTGCTTTCAATAGACAACCGCCGCTCTGGTATGTTATGGATAGATGTATGGATAGATGTATTGGTAGGTATAGGTATGTGTGTGTAAGTGATGTATAATAATAATAGTTATTAATTTAGTATAAAGTATTGAAGGTTTAAATGCATTGAATAGCAGATTAATGATATATCTATGATATATATATATATATGTTATTTGTTATTATCAACAATAAAAAATTTATAATTTATTTATTTATAATACAGTATTATAAGTGATATTATAAGTGATATTATAAGTGATATTATAATTAATATTAGAATTAATATTATAATTAATATTAAGAATTAATATTAGAATTAATATTATAATTAATATTAGAATTAATATTAAGAATTAATATTAGAATTAAATAATATTAATAATTATAATATAATAATAATTTAACAAAAAATATTATTTATTTAAAAAAAAAAAACAAAATAATAATAATAAGAAACTTAACTGTAAATGTTGCCGTCAAATTGGACAGGGTGGTACGCAATTTTTCGGGCATTGCACTTTTGGCATTGCCCGACCCTAGTCGACAACCCTAACAACAACCAAAAAAAAAACAATTAAAAAATTAATTAAAAAAATTAATTTTAAAAAAATTAATTGATTTTTAATAGAATCGCTTTTTTGACACAAAAATTTTTTTTAATTAAATTTATTTTTCAAAAAAAAAAATAAATACAATAATAATTACCGTCACTTCGGTAAAGGCACGCATGAAAAGAGAGGGTACAATGTCGGCACTGGACGACACATTAAACCCGACAATATTGGCCAGTTGTGTAATCACACCGTCCATCGGGCCGCCGCCTTCCGAAAACGATTTAACTGTATCCTGTAGTCCGGTAATTATGCCGCCAATACCCGATCCTTTGGTACCGTCACCCCTAACAAACGTACCGACATCTCTGACCGTTTTGACAACATCCGACAAACTGATCTGTCGTTTACCGATACGCCGACCACCACCACCACCACCACCACCACTACTGGTACCGGTGCTGCCGCCAAAAAATCTGGTGGACGTATTTCGGGCTAATGTGTTGGCAGCTGCCGATGCCGGTGCCGGCGGTCTACGACCGGCCGATTGTGGTCTAACCCGACTATTAGAAGTCACGGGTGTTCCTGTTTTTGGTGACGACTTGCCATCGGTACTGCCCTTATTGGTAGTACCGCTGCCACAGTATTGTTGGCCTTTAGTTAGGAGTTCATCTAACATCTAGTTTTTTGTTTTTATTTATTAATAAATTAATATTAATTTAAAAAAAAAATTATTATTTATTTATAATTAGTATTTTTTTAAAAAATAAATATAGTTATAATATATTTATGAATAAATATTCATTATTATTGATATAATTATTATTAATTATATCAATAATATTTTAGTATTAATAAATACAATATATAATTAATTAATAATAAAATACAATTAAACATTATTTTATTTGAGTAGTTATTTTGCTAATATAGTATTTTTTTTTTTAAAATAATCATAACTGAAAAAAATAATTAAACTAATAATAAATATATTATATTAAAATTACTTGATTTTATAATTATATAAATCAATTCAATGTTATAATAAAAAATACTTAAATATATAGTTATTATATATATACGATATTATTGAAAAATTTTTAGTTAATATCCTAATCTAAGCTTAATAATAATAACCATTAAATATATTTTAAATTAAAATGTATATTAATATGACAAATAATTACATTATTTATTATTTTAATTCAAAAATAAATAAATAAATAATAATTACATTATAATTATAAATAAATTAATTATTAATTATTTTATTTAATTTATTTTCGGTAATAACAAACCTTGGATATTTCGCACGAGTCCAGTAGATCGCCTAAATTGGCGCACAATATTTTGGCCACATTATCGGGTTTACTCACTCGGCGATTGGTACAAAATCGGCCCCTATGTACGGCATTCAAATTGCAAACAGTTACCGCCGGGAACGGTAGTACACGTGAATCGGTTACCCGTACGCTAACAGTTACCGGATATTGTGTATAATCTGACAACATATCTATCAGATCCCTGATTGTTAAACTGACAAACAATATGAAAACAGTAGCCCAGACAGCCTTACGGACACCTTTGACGCTGAATATATGGGACAGACCGGGAACACCCGATTCCGAGGCCAGTTTGGCCATACGTGAGCCCATTGTGATGATGTTGATGATGATGACCCCACCCTTTAGTATCAATTTTTTTATATACTAATCAAATATTTTTTTAAAAAACAAACAAAAAATAGAAACAATTTTTTTTTGATTATATTTAATTGAAAATACTTTTAATTATTAATTATTATTATTATTATTAATCAGTATATTGTAATAATAATAATAATAACTTTTTTCGCTATATATTTAATATACAGTTAAAATAAAATTACAATATACTTTTGTATGATATTTAGCTGTGATTTAATTTATATCAATGTACAGTATTAGTATATTATGTTTATAATAATGATTATTATTATGCTATTATGTAATGTATTTTTTTAGCTACAATTTATGATTGCTATATATATATATATATATATATAGAGTATACTGTATTATAGCCTATGTTATAGTCAATTGGTTAGCTTGAAATTAGACCAAAATATTATTATTATTATTATTACTAAAAATTAAAACATAATTTTTTCTCTGTATAATACTCTGTGAATATTATTTACAGTATATATAAGTTAACCAAAAAAATACATTAATTTAATTAGAAATCAATTTGATTTAAATATAAACGCTTTTACATTTGTAACTCATATTATTATTATTTTTTAATTAATTTAATGGCTATTATTATTATTACTTATGTGTTAGACATTTGTGTTTTGCAAATGTTTTACTTGTAATACAAAAAATAAATAAATAAAATTTTCACATATTTTTCAGAAAACAATATATTTTTAGATTTAATTTATTTTATTTTGTTTGTTTTTTTTGTATGAAATAAAAGTTTATAACTTTATATAACAATTTTTTTCAATATAAAATTTATGATAAAAAATAATGTAATTTAAAAAAAATTATTATTTATCTATTTGTTTGTAATATTTAAAAAATTAATTTTTTTTGCCTACACCTCCATGTCCTCCATGTCCTCCCTGTCCTAAGTCAATGGCGATACAATACCCTCGCCTTCAAGACAACCAATTTTTTGGCCCTGAGGATTGAACCAGGTCCAACGTAGCTTATATTGACCCTGATAATAATTTTTAAAAATAATAATAATTTAAATTAAATATACAATATATATTAGTATTTAATTATTGTTTGTTAAAAATGTAAGTAAATATTCTCTATATTTTTTTATAATATAATAAATACTAAATATATTACTTATTAGTTGAAAAAATCTATATTATTATTATTATTATCTATTAATATGTGTGATAGAAAATATTAGTTTACATTTTWAAAAAAAACTATAATAAATTTTTTTTTAAAAATTATAATCTTTATATTATAGTTTTAAATTATTATATAATTATAATATAAACTATATTATAATAGTATTATACAGTTATAAGTACTTGTATTATAATATATATATATATTGTTATATTAAATATAATGATAGTATTGTATTATAAAAAAAATAATAATTACTAATGTATTACTAATTTTATATTATTTTTTATATATATAGTTTATGTTACTTGTATTTACTTAATAATAATATACAGTATATATCATATAATATATTGTAATAAATATAATAAATAATATAATAAATTGTTATAACAAATAAATAATTAAAAATTAAATAAATAATAAATACCTCAGCAAATAGTTTCTGAAATGTCGACAATTTTCTATCGGCAACTTTGACCCGAAAATCGCTGGCCTCAACCGTTTTCGGTAACATTGGACACCCGCACTCAGCAGCAGCCGTAGCCGTGCTATTGGTGGTGGCCGCGGTTGCCGATACCCGTTGCAAATTACAAAAATTATCCGTATCGGCAACTTTGCATATATTATACTGGCACGAACCAAACTTATTAACACACGGTATGGGCACCTGTACTACGGGTAACAATAGTACCCGTAATTGACGCCATACCTCTACCTTGGATGTCGATCCCGGTTCTATGGGCGCAAGGATCTGATATCGGGTACTGATGGTCAAGTTTTTCATACGCATCGGCTCCGGTAGCCTAAGATCAAGCCATCGGACACTTGAATTATTGTGGCCACAGTCGCGCCATTTTATTAGCCGATTATTAGTATTATTATTATTATTATTAGTTTGGTTCCGGTATTTAGTTTGTTGTTGTTGTAATGTTAACCCAATTATCAGTAATAATAATAATTTAATTATAATTAATTGTTGATAATTTTGAATCATTATGTTGTATACAATAGAAAAAATTACTGTTAATATAAAAAAAAAGTTATAAACAATATATTTATATATATATATTGTTTTTTTTATAGAAAATTATTAGCAATTAAATACTATTATATATATATTTGTAAAATAGTTTTTTTTAGTTTATATATGTATTGAGATTTTTTTTTATTTTGTTATTTTTTTGCTATTTGTTTTGTTTGGATTAAAATATATTAAAAAAATTTTTAATTAAATTAATTCAATAAACAAGGTTTAGTTAACATTGACTTAATTAAAAATATATATATATATTAGCCATTAAATAGATGTCACATTAATTGTTTTTTTCTCTATAATAATAATTATTATTATATTGTAAATAAAATAAATAATTTTTTGATGAACTATTTACATTTAATTAATATTTAAATATTTTTTTAAAAAATAACATTACATTTATGCTACTAATAAATAATAATAATTTTATAACATTTTTATTTGTCAAAAAATATATATTAATAGACTGTATTATTTGCATTATATAGACCCGTATTTAAAATTTTAATGTCAAAAACAAATTATAAAATTATTTAAAACAATAAAATATATTGTTTAAAACAATAATATTTATAAAAATTTTAGTATAAATAATATTATAGAAGAAAATCAAATTTTTAAGTATTTTAGAAAAATATTTTATTTATTATTTGAGATAATTTTTTAAAAAAATATAATTAATATTCAAATATATTTTTTATCATTCAAAATACTGCTAAATAGTAAAATTTATTTAACATTTAAGTGGTTTATTCAATAGACTTGTATTGTTATAAAAAAAATGCAGCAAGGTCACAATCAATTAACTATTAATATACTATATATATATTATATATTTTATATATAACTTTATTATGAGTAGGAAATAAATTACAATTTTATTACTTAATATATGTTATTTATTAATTGTTGTAAAAATTTTATTTAAATAGCTATTATAATATAATAATAATAATGTTTTTTGAATAAATAAATAATTGAAGTTCAAGTTTCAAGTCATGTTAAACCAATCATTTATAATTATAATACCAATTATTTTTAATTAATATTATTTTTCTAAATAAAAATCAAAATAAAATTAAATATCTGAATAGACAGTCAATTACTATACATTAAAATAAAATCCACACAAAAAACAAACAAAACAAAAAATAATAAATAAAAACAAATAAATTGTTAAACTATTAATTCACTTAACAAAAATTCTCAAATTTCATACATAATTTAAACTTACAAAATAATAGTTAAAACTTATAAAAATTATTATTATATTTAAGCGTAATTTTTTAGGAAAAATACTATAAATTATTATTTAATAGTTTTTATTTTCAAAAATCATACAAAAAATTAATTTTTATTACAATTTTTATCTTACTTTAGAAAAAAATAATGATATGTAAAAAATTGTTGAAAAATTTAATAATAATTATAATAATCAGTAAAATATCTATTATTAGTTATGGTTTAGTAGTCAATGTGCCTAATAATGGATCCCAATTGTTGTCTATCAATAAAACATTATTATATCCATGTAAACCCTTAACAATTGGTCAATCAAAAAGTCAACTGGGTTCAATTGTCAACAATAGGGTTGGCCATTGTGTACCCAAACGTGAATGCTGTCAACTAAAGGACTGGTCATACAGTGTTGACCATACAGATAGTGGTGGCGGTGGTGGTGGTGATGGCGATCAACAGTTTGTTTCAGATGACTGTCCCCATCAATCGCACCGGTATTGTTGCATATATCGTATTTTATGCCAAAGTAAGTGTATATTTATTT